AGCCCAATCACACGTAAGTGTTACGTCGAACAATCAATAAATGTTAAGCCAGCCCTGAGCCGACCTAAATTTAGTCCGACTTTTGAGTCAACTTAGGTCCCGCAATGCGGAACCTGGGCCGACCCAACTTTATGTCTGAAAGTAATCCGATCCTGAGCTGGCCCAAGTTCGCTCTAATTGCGGTCGATTTTAACATCTTATGTACCACAACTGACTTGCACGAAAAAAAACCCATTGAGAAATATATTGTTAAGGAAATGTAGAGTAAATTGTACTCAGTTGAACTATAGTTTTTGAATAAAAGTTGTCATACATAAGGTTAACATACCTAACTCATTACTGCTTACAGCCTCTCTGTGGGAAGCAACATTCAGCATCACACACCAAAACAAAATAATAGAACTGGGAAATACCGCATGATACAAAGCTTCTCATGGGCAGTTTGGCAGATGACATATGCTGTAACTTTCTTTTCTACAGTTAAATGCCAGTAAAAATAATTATTACAAGCTCATTATAAGCTCAAGAAACACCGTTTTTGTATAGCACATTATTTTCACAAGTTTATATTCTAAAATCATAACACTGTATAACAGTATCATTCTTTCTGTGAACGCCAAGTGCGTTTTGTGTCGATGTTCATGAAGCTACTAACGTGACCCAGAGGACCGAAAAAAATAATTGTTTGTTATTGTTATGAGCGAATCGGGTTGTAAAAAGCAAGTGTCAAAAATTGTTTGTGAATGAACCTAATATGAAAATAATTGTTATTGCCAAATAGATGCTCGATGCCACTATATTCACAATCCGTGTCTATAGACGCCAAGCAGTGACAGCAACCTTCAGTCTTTACGTAGGCCTACAGTACAGGAATGGACTTTCGAAATCGCGAGTCTGGTTTGCACAGAGTAAGTCTAGCTGTGCTATAGGCCTTGGTTGTTATAATAATTATTGTCGCCATAATCACGAACCAAAATGCTACGTTTAAAAAAAATTGAAAATAATTGAAAGATTCACGTTTCGCATGAATTTCATGTGTTTATGCTAGGTTGGGATTTACCGTTCCACCATCATGTAATGCGATCGCCTCAAACTTCCTGTCCTGCAATTCATTGACCCGGCCCAAAGGAGAAGTGTGAACGTTCGTAAGCTGCCTCTGGGCCGACTTAAAATAATAACTATAAACAGAAAATTTGTTTGAGTCGGCCCTAAGTCGGTCGTATTTAAGACAGCCCTGGGCCGACTCAAGGCCGGCCTAATAAGTGTGATTAGGCTCTTAGTTCAAATGTACAACTCAACTACACTCTTTTTCATTGATTTGATGGAAGAACAATTTCTATACAAACCACAAAACCATATATTACACTCAGCCACAAAAGAGACACCATTAACCACAGAACATAAACTATCAATACACAAAACCAAACAAAAAAACCAATCTCAAAACATAAACCATAAACCAAAAAGCCAATAATATATCAACGAATATAAACCATATCATAACCCCTGAATCATCATAAACCACAAACCATATACCACATGAATTGTAACAATAACAATTTATATGCACATCTTCCAATGATGTCATAACAACACATTTGATTGTATGATTGATTGAATCGCCTTGGTTACCAGTAAATTGTGTTTTAATGGAAGACAATATTAATGTCAAGTGAGACAAGCTTGTACATTTTGATACAACCTAATGAGTGGATAACTTTTTTGTGTTAAAAAAAAAAACACCCAACTGATTCAAAATTGGTCTACTAGATTAAATCTTTAATGGGGAGATTAATCACCATGGCAACTTATATCCGTTTAATCACATGAGCGATTTGTGTCTTGTGATTTAGTCCACTATACAGTCTCAGGGGTTGATTTTTCAGATATTTGTTTTTAGCTGTTGGTATTTTTAGTTTTTAGATTTGATTGATAAACTCTGTACACTAGTGAAGTAAAGCTGTGAATAGAATTTGAACTTGATTTAGGAATTTTGTAGAATTTTTTAGGCAATTTTTACATTAGAACCCCCTCATTTGAGACACTCTTTCGACTGCAAAATGATATGACATTATTACTGTATACAGATAGATTAAATAATTGATTTAGAATATTTATTGAGATTAGTTATTGCAAAATTGATAATTTAAAGGAGACCAGCTAATTAAATAAAGTGTTATAAAAACTTTAACCTAAAAAAACTTTTAAACTACAATAAATTACTAATGAAAATATAACAAATACAAAATGACTCAAACCCATGTTCCATTACAATATTTTTCTCAATTAATTTTAGAGGTATATATTACAGTAATACATTACAATAAGTAAATTTAGCATAATATGACTATAGTATTAGGGACACAAATTATGGTCAAGAAGGTGTCCCCATTATATATACAAATTATGGTCTAGAAGGTGTCCCCATTATATATACAAATTATTGTCTAGAAGGTGTCCCCATTATATATACAGTAGGGGGCTGTACTGTATTGTGAAATAGTAAATTAGTTGGCTGGATTTAAATTTTTGGAGATTAACTTTTTTTTTTCAAATATTAAATATTGATTTATTTATTGATGGTTAATTGAGCAGACTCAGTTTTTTATTGAATATTTTATGAAAAAATTGAAAACTTTCTGGTGAAGAAATACTTCATATTTTTCTGTCAGTTGTGTCTTTTTGCTTGGTTAATAAACAATTCCTAAATAAATGATAATATAATAGTAATATTAAAATAAAATATTTCTTGAAGATTTGCATGGCAAGCATCAATAACAAAATCATTAAACTTCCGGTACACCATGTGTAAAAATATAGTTTTTGAGGAAAAACAACTGGTTGGTTTTTACAACGTTTTGGCGAGATTACTCTGACCGTCTTCAGGAGAATATTCATTCAATTATGCACTTTACAAGAACCTGGAATTCTTGTATTAGAAGATCTCATTAATTACTAATCACGTTCACATATTTTAGCGTATTCATCAATGCTTGTAAACACCAACTAAACACCGTCCTTTTAATGCCTCTTTTCAAGTCCTAACGATGCGCAAGCGAGAGGTTTGAGCATCGAATCCCAGGCCATGTCAGCTGTAAATCTGTACACAATTGCTAACTTAGTGCAATCTTCACGATTCCGAACTAGATGTTTAGGTAAACAGAACGCTTTCAACAGAATTATTCATTTACAGATTACTGTGGGGATATCCACTTACTGTAGTTGATGCTTATGTTGATATTGTCAGCAATTCGCAATTGTGTTTGGCAGCCCAGAATTTATGTTTGCATCAGGATTAGCAGCATATAATTGGACGAGACTTTTAATGTTTGCCAATGATCTTCTAGATTATTTGATGCCTGAAAAGCTCTGAAAAATTTACAACCAAATTTGAATTTGTTTTTTCTTTTTTTTTTTTCTATTCAAGGATCTTTTAATGATAATTGGATATTAATTGTAAGCTGGCAATTAAACAAAACAATTCTACTGTGTCTGAAGAATAATTTAAATTGAAAAATAAGGTTTTTTTTTATTACATATTAAGAAAAATTGAGTTATTGAATATACAGTTCAATAACATTGTTTTTAAACAGTTGTATTTGTAATATAACCATTATATTTGTAATATAACTGTTTAAGAATATTATTGTTAGATTAATTCATTTTGTATTAAGACAGTAGGCCTATAGTACATTGTTTTATAAGTAACAGGACGTTTTTAGACACAGTATTCTAACAGTATTTTAATTTTTTTTGGAATAAAATTCTGCAAATACAGGCTGCCACTCTAGGTATAGGTTATAAAGGAGAAAAATAAGGGTAAGAAACACAGGGTGACAAAATAAATCAGATCACATTAAAGAACCATTTCACAGAGTAAAGAAAGTGTTGCTTCACACTTCGCTTGAAACAAGTTAGATTAATTTCATCAGGGAAATGGTCCTTGGGGAGGAAATTTCACAAAAGCATGGCTCTGGAAAAAAAAAAGTCCTTTAAAATTCTTAGGTTTTCTAACACTTTGGCTTCGTCAAATTAAGATGGTGAGAAGCTTTTGAGAGGCTAGGATGACCAAATGGTTTTGATGGTGTAAAAGGACATGATAACCTAGAACAAAATTCATAAACATATCTAATAAACAAATCATTACGAGATGTCTTGGAAATACGTATAATACTATCGGCATGCCCTGTAAATCTCAATGTCCAAAGCAAAAAAATCCCGCTAAAGTAGTTAAAAATCACCTTATTGTGCAACAGACTGTAGTGCCCCTTACCTTATCAAGAGCTCCCCCCCCCCCCCCCCCCCCCCCCCCCCCCGGGAGAAAAACCACAAATCGTCGGGGAGAAAAAATTGAGGAAAAAAATGTGAATAGAATAAAAAAAATATCGCTGTCAACTATGGAAATTATATCGCTGAAATTAATGTGTAGAATTGTCTCTCAGTAGAGTACTGTATGTCGACTACAACCAGTAGAGTACTGTATGTCGACTACAACTTTGTAAGAACCAAATTTTTCCTGACAGGCCAACAATGTGAAATGGGAGTAGTGAAAGTCATTATATGAGAACAAACTTAAGTAGATTGTAAACATCATCTTCTAGGCCAAGTTGACTGTATCAAAGTGTCTGGTGAAGTAGAAATTGTGAATGAACTGTGCAGTCATTCATCCAAGCATGCCCTTAAAAATCAATAAGACATGGCCTAGAGATAGCTCCTACCTTTCACACGCAGCCACTAGGGGGTTCGGCATCTATAACAAAAGGTTGTAATTGATAACACTGCATTCAGCTTTAATAGTACGACCATTATACATTGATTGGTTTGAATTGGACAGAACAGTGAGAGTTTTTTTTTTACAGGGAATTACACCTGGAAATAGTGAAATGATCCTAGTGATCGAATTTGTTTATTCCAGTGTTTATGTGTCAGAACCAATGAGGTATAAAGTGGGGCCAAAGAACACAACAGGTGCCTGTGGCAGATAAATCAAAGCTGATTTTAGTGAGAGTGGTGTATTGTCTGCTCTTGACTCGTTTCTATTTTTTTTATGGGATTCTTAAATAGTTTGTTGAAAAGAAAGTGAACCAGTAACATGCAGAATGAATTAAGATTATCTTTTGATAAAAAGGATCGAGAAATCAGACAGTTTTTTACAAAAGATGGTGAGTTTTAAAATTATAAATATATTTTTTTTTAATAGTTATTAGGCCAAGTAAAAAGGCAGTTTTCTCATCAATTTGGAGGGACAAATGGAGGAGGAAGAGGTTCTTTTTTCCCCTTTTTTGATTCAAAAACATGGATGCTTTCGCACAAAAGCCAAGGCCCTGGACATTTTCTTATTGATGGTTAAAACAAACCACAAAAAAATAACAATACTGTAGTTCAAAAAAGCCTGTAGAAGGAATGTAAAACATCTTTTATTGCGTTATTAAATGTAATACCTAAAACATTTTCATGTTGTAACCAATCTATTGTTAACAGTAGGAATGGCAAAATAGTTTCGACAGTGATTAAGATAAACATTAAGGTATGCACATGATAAGCCCAGGGGAAAAGTAGACATTTAAGGCCCAAATCAAGTAAATATTAGTAGTCATAACATACTGTATACCTTGATACATATTTGAAGTCACAATGAGTAATACAATACCTGAGATACTGTGTGCACTTATTTTTCAATGTTATATATTGTTGCTTCAAATTATCTGTTGTGTTTTATGATGATTGGCCTCCATTTAACCTCTTTGTTTCACATTAATCTGAATTTTGGTTTTTGAAACCTACTTTGAATGGAAAGTGAACCTGGGAAAATGGCATGGTATTTGATTTTACTTCAAGGGCAGAAATGTTAAAATAATAACTGATTAAATTAACTTTTACTACTCCAGAAGTGCATTAAGGAAGGTAGGGAATCTTCTTAAAAACTGCCCATGTTGAGCTAAAACTTCTAATTTAAAAGTTGAAAGGCTTTTTGTAATTTAAAGTTTGAGCATTCCAATGGAAAATGAAAATGAGATTTTCTCATTAATTTAACCCTTTTTCATGTCCTTAGACTCCGATAGTAACAATAATCTGTGCGTATATCAAAGATACTAGAAATACAAGATAGAGTTCTCGCATTGTAAAAATGAGGCGGAAGTCGTGCCCAACGTAGGCGGCGCCCTTCTTTTTAACCATGCAAGTTTCCTATACTTCGTGCCCAACGTACAGGGCGCCCTTCTGTTGCTAAGTATATCCAGACGCAAAAGGCGCCCTTCCTTGTCCACTAATGGAGGAAAACTTTTTCACTAAGAGTGCGTCCGGCCATGCGATTCTGCGCTTTATTGTTGTTTTATTCTTTACTGATTCATG